AAGCGAGTCTGATTGCATTGCTAATTGTGAAATTAAAAAGGCTTTCCTTTTACATATCGACCTTCACTGCATTGAGAACTTGCCCGTGCTTGTTTGTTTGTTTGTTTGTTTTCCTTGAGAAAAAAGAGTGGGAACTGGTCCCTGGTTGGATCTGGATTCGAACTCGAGTCTCTATTTCAACAGTTTGTGAATGTACCAACCGGTCTAGGCCTGTTGGTGGCGTCCATGTTTTTGGGCCCCATCTAACAATTCCTTGTTTTTCTTCCTCCAGAAACTGGTGATTGCAAAATCAAGAAGTCCTTCCCTTACATATCTCCCTCCGCTGGATTGAGAGCCACTAGATTGAGAGCTCCGCCGGCCATGTTTTTGGGCACCATCTGGGATTTTTTTTTTTTTTTTTTTTTTTTTTTAGATCGCCTGTTTTTTCGGAGATGCTCCCTTACTGTGCATCGATGTCCCCCCTCTTTGGGCACTTGCAGTTTTATGTGAGTGCCAGGTGTCAGCAACTGCTGAGACTGTACGTGTGCAATTGAGGGTGCTTTGGGATCATGGCCATCCTGCCACGACTGGCAGTGGGTCTCATACTAGAAGACCCGGTCTCATACTAACGATGATATAAGGTGCTGAGTGTCTCCCCCTCTGTTTGAGATATCAGTGTAAGGCAAGCCCGATGAGACTGTTGTTGTGTATGAAGAGGCAGGGCGCAGCAGCAACTCGTCACTCCCCAAACTCACCTGACCGCATGCATGTCCCTTGTACATTCCGTAAGTCTTTTTTTTTTTTTTTCTGAAAATATTTATATTCAATTATAAAATGAAAATCTACTCGAGGCTCGGGAAATTTGGGTTTTTGGCTTACCGTTACATCTTATATTTTGCTGACGTTCCACCTTATCTTTTGTTTGACGTTACATCTTTCTCTTTTTTTTTTGCCGGTTGACTTACTTGACAGCCAGGCCGAAGGATGATTTGATTAGCACGACGCATCTTTAGGTGTGTCTTGCATGAGCACTGTGGATATGACGACTTGGGGTGGGCACTGCTGCTTGGGTGCTCCGCGAGTACTCATGTGCACGGAACTGGCTGTGAGGATCGGAGGAAAGGACCGAGGAGCAAGGAAGGGATATAGGATGGAGGTACTGTGTCCTTGTGTTTTTTGACAGTGGTACTCCGGAAGAGACCTGGTATAGGGTCTCGCTGCACTACTCTCCACATGCGCAAAAGACAAAAAAGATGACAATGCATCTTTCCGCGTTCTACCGGAAGATTCCTTCTCATTTTGCACATTTGGAGAGTACTGCTGCGAGGCCCGTACTCCCAGGTCAAAAGTGCGATCTATTTCTTCTCCTCCCTCCGAGTTTTTTTTTTTTTTTTTTTTTTGGGAAAAGCGAGGAGTCCATTATCATGAGATAACATGAAGCCGGGAATTCCTCTCTCCTCTCCATTCTCTCTCTCTCTCTCTCTCTCTCTCTCTCTCTCTCTCTCTCTCTCTCTCTCTCTCTCTCTCACACACACACACACGCACACACACACACACACACACGCACACACACACACACACACACAAACACACACACACACACAGCGTGTGGGGAAAAACTTTGCCTTCTGCCACCCAGCGGAAAATAAAGTTGTGACTTTGCAACCCCACAGCTGGGGTTGGTTTAAAAAAAAAAAAGCTACCAGGTAGTCTTCTGACGATCACCCCCCATCCCCATCCCTCTTTCCCAACCATCCTATTGTGGCAGCAAAAAAGTGCCCACGGTTCTCGCATAGACGCCTGAAGGTAAATTCATAACTCATTATTAACATAAATAAGAAACAGGTAAACGGAGATACTGACCAGTACAGGGAGACAGCCTCCACATTTATCCAGGGCAATAACGAGAGGAAGTTCTCTTGGAGATATTAGAGCATATTCACAGACTGCATCTGCTCGTAAATGGACTTGTATACATCCCGGAAACTCCTGGTGTGAGTCTCCTCTACTCTACTTTTTTTTTTTGGACTATTCCTCCCCTATTAATGTCGACTTTTTTTTGGGGGGGGGCAGCATTTCTCTATTAATAGTATTTATGCATGTCATCCTTGTGCAAAGCCCATGCTAATCTTCACTCTCTGTATCGTTAAACTTGACATGTCGATTAGGATTTCGTCGATACACGTTGCAAACAAAGTTTTACTTCCAAAAACAAAAAAGGGGAAAATGCATTAGGTCCCTAATTAACTTCAAAACAAAAAAACATCCCTTAAATTTTCAAATCATATAATCTATCAGCAACATGACAAAGAAGGATTACTGAAATTCAGTGGAACATCTGCACTGAATCTGCAGACTCCATGACAATAACACATTCCACTCCTCTTCACATCTGCGTCCTCTAAAAATAATACGTCTGCGCACATCATCCAAGAAAAAGAAAAAATACGGAAGAGCCATCCATGAAAATATGGTGGGCGGACATGATTGCACCTCATTTCCCATGGCCATTTTCAGTATGAAGATTATTACTGCGCACATAAAATTGCATCACCGGGGTCACACTTACCAAAGCCGAGGCAAAGTGGGGGGGAAGGAAGGGGGGGGAACAAACGAAAGCGAAAAAGAGGACTGTACGAAGATGCGCCCCCCCATGGAGTCGTTCTGCCTCCTGTTAGTCCCTCATGAAAATAAATGTTCCGCCCTCAGAGAACTGCGGCTCGACTCCAACACTAGGAGACTTTAAAAGTCTCTTAGATCCTTCCCGTCGCTGTCCTCCGTTACCCAAATTTAGGTTCAAAAAATGTTCTACCTCCCCAGCTCGACCCCCAGCC